CCTCTAGTAATATATTTACTGAGAAAAATGTTGACGTGTTCAATACTTATTTTACCCGCTGTATGTAACATGCACTTCAATAAGTCTCGTTGTCTCCAGTTTCACTTTTCGTTTGCCCCTCTTCTCAGTCCCAGTTCGTCATTGTCAAAAGAGGCACATTATGTTTTTGTGTATTATTGTATATTTTGACCTGCATTGACCTTGTGTTTGATTTACAATTTTAGAAGTTAATTCCTGATTTGATGTTCAATTTTCGTTGCTTATGTGTAATTATATTTTTCTGTTTAATTTTATTCTTTTCACCATTTTTATACTGTTAATGACTGTACAACACCTTGTGAAGATATTTCTGTGAAAGGCGCTTTATAAATAAAACTTTACTTACTTTTACTTACTTACACTTGCTGCAACATTAATTGCCCTTTTGGGACTCGAATAAATCTGAACCTGAACCTATAACAGTTGTAAACAAAAGTCTTGATCTGCTCATTCTCTACAAATACACTGAACAATTTTACCACTTCCCTAAGTGACACCTCAAAGGTATCATCTGTCGTCGTGTTTTAGCATTTGATTTCTTTTTTTTTTACAAAATAAATAGAGGTGGCACACAGGAGGCATTGAGAGTAGTTACCATCATGTGATAGTCCTCATGGCCTTCGATGGGTTCAGACACTACGTTTTTTATGGAGCCCATTGGGACTTTTTCTGTTCTCTCTGCAGACGAGAAATCAAAAACACAACAGTTTCAATCATATGGGTTTGACATAAAAAGAAACGAAAACAASACAGGATAACCATCCTCTCACCTTTTGTTCCAATCCATAATTGATCTTGCTCCAGTTTGAATGTGAGTCTTACTTTTCCTCCAGACTTGTTAAACATTCCAGATAAAGGCACAGTTGGCAATCGTTCCTGTTAGCYGCACAATGCAGCTATTATTCTGTTTGCTACTCATATAAACACTATATGCCGTWTATGATCCAACAGCTCTCACCTTTGCTCCTTTAATCGCTGGCATAATGTCTTCTGGTTTACCTTTGTCTAATACTTTCCTGTGTTGCTGTAATCACATTGCAGGTAAAAACAAAACCACAAAAACGTGAACGTTTGCAGAACTTGAAAACGTAAGAAGCCTCACCTTTTGCCTGCATAAAGGTTCTTTCTTGTTTTCCTCAGCTTTAACTTCTTGCTGGACGACCTCTTTCGGCGTGTTGACAGCTAATACATCGTTTATCGTGGATCCTACCACCATTATTTTTGCACCACTTGTAACTTTTATTTSACGTAGCGTCTTGTCCTCTGGAAGCAATCCTTTGTACATCACTTTCTGCATTGCTGGTGGAAGACCTGACAGAAGACAGAGAAATCAACACGTTTTTTTTAAAAACAGCTCATCTACAGTCACACGTAAAGCTCCCTGAATGCACACCAGTGAGCGAGTGAATCCTCTCTTTTAGTTTGGCTCCGGTGCTGTCGACGGGAATTTTCAGATCGTATTTGTTCTTGTTCCAGATAATCTTCAGATCCACCGTCTCCTGCTTGTCATCTGCATCGTCGCCATTGCTAATACTAGAGTCCTGAGTTGTGGCATTTCCTGCATCCGTTTCAGACGTGGCTTCGGCTTTCTCGACGTCTTCGCCAAGTGATTCGGCTTCTTTCGGCTTCTCCTCGGTTTCCATCGTGACTCCTTCACTTCCTGTAAAAAAAATCAAGTTATTTGGTGAAACAGAATTCTGCGCAGGAGTAGAACCAGCTCTAAACATATTTCCCAATTTCAATGTAGCCCTAAATCAGTCTTGCTCCGATTACCAAGAGTTTCTTCTAGACTGAAGCTTAAGTCAACAAACCTGTGAGTTTTTAACTTGGACACTGTTCAATGCAAGTATAACTTTTTTGTCACAGGAGAAACAGATACTTAAAAATCTATTCTGAAGTTAAAGATGTTTTGCTTTTTATCCAGAGAACAAGCTTTCTCAGTTTGAAAACGGAGAGTGTGGAGTTCAGTTTCCTGCAAAACATCCTCAAATTCAAAATATAAGTCCAGTTTGTTGGATACATGTGTCACATATGTGTCTCCTCAAACTGTAATGTTTAAATTTTGTTGTTGTTTCTTTGCACAGCTGAAATCAAATTTTTATATTTAAAGTTTTTTTTTTACTTGAAGAGTTTCAATCACATTATGCAGTAGTTGTTATAAAGTTGATATTTTGCTGCATCCTTTTAATCGATTGCTACATTTATKCGTTGCTAAATATTGTCATAGTCCTCTGATGTCTTTCTGACATATTTCTTTAATTTTGCCAATTTTTTACGTACAATAAATTTTGCACAGTTTATTTGCAGAATTTGTGCGACTTAATCTGATAATCTAATTGTCTTTCTTTCTCCCTTGCTTTACGCCATAGTAAATAAAAAGTAAAACTTAATAATAAAAAACAGACAAACCTTTAAAACATTAAACAGTAGTTTCGCTTTTTTCTGCTACTTTCTGCATCGAGTTATTTCCAGCTCTTTCTATTGTATTTTTTCTCTTTCTTTCTTTTCCCCAGCTCTTGGAATAAAATAAMATTAATTGTGTTTGATGCTGGGAACTTTTAGTGGCATCTATTTATTTAGTTCTTACTAAAAAAACAAGTTATCTGACAACATCGAGTTTTAGCTTCACTGTATAAAAACTGGTTGACGTAAAGGTACAACATGCTGGCGCTTCAGTAACACARAAAGAAAATTTTAGCAACTATAACACCGTGAGATTAGCTAGATAAATCCCACATTTGTTAATTTTTCGTACCTTAGCATTTACTAGCGTTAGCGTTATCGGCAACGTACGTTYACTGCACTCGTGAGCATTTTAAGACAAGCGATATTTAAAAACACAATTTTGTGTTACAGTCTCTCGATAATACCACATATTTACGATTATTTAAGACTCGTGTGCAGTTTCAWAAAAACAGTTTACAATTAGAGTGAAAATATTGGCGGAATTTAGCTCAATTTTCCTCTATACCTACCATCCTGSGTCGCCATGATGATTGTGTACAATCCGTAGGTTGTGGTGGCGAACAGGAAGCAGGATGAACCCATACAGGAAATAAATGACGATCAAATTTTTTTTTATTAAAACTTGATGGAAATGAGCACGGACCAAGATAACAACAATAAAAAGKTGATTTTGTTTGTGATTAATTAAATTATATGTAAGTGAAAAACAAATGAAAATAAATATCTTAAAATGGATTTAAGCGTTAATTCTAAGTCACGTTGTGAATTCAGGCAAACCCGGAAGTGCATGGAGAGTTACTCTCTTGCTTTATTACGCCTCTTTGTTGTTGTTCTTGTTGCGGCCCCCAAAATAAACATAAAGCTGGCACTTTTTTTGTACCTCTTATTAAATATTATACGCGATTTAATCAAATGTGTTTTATCGGTTGCCAACTGTTTATTTAGGTCAAATGAAACTACATAAAGTACAACTTATTAATTGAGCAATTTCTGATCATTCAACGGCTATGATTTATTTTCTTCTCTTTTTCTCAATATATTTTAAATAGCACGCACATTTAAGCAGTTTTGTGATTACAAAATACTTGTAACTTCATAAACTTCAAATTGATTTTCACATGGATGTTCCTCTTGGTCACCTGTGGACGGCAGCAAAGTTAAATGTAAATTGTCACGAAGAAGAAGAGACAGAAAGTCACGAAGAAGACAACTTTGTGAAAAGAGGGGAAAAGAAGACCTTAAAAAAAAACTGCTTAATTAAAGTCACAAGTAGTCATGTGTACTGTGAATATCAGGCGGGAAGGGTTCTTGTGACTGTTACTGTCTGTGTCCATCCCATATTCTCATCTGCTCTGCATTAAACTGGATTTGCTCCCACAGTGGGAGRCTTTGGAGTTCAGATTAACAGATGAGAAGTTATTAATAAATCAGAGATGAATTAGGAGCATTATTACGGTACGATGGCAGACAGAAGAACTTGCAACGTTGTGATTCTGGGTTTGGGTTTTCTGTTTATTTTCACCGCCTTCACCACCTGTGGSAACGTTGAAGTAAGTAGTTTGTGGAACAGAAACTAGAAAATAATCTTAATAATGCAAACATTTTTGTTTCCCCCTTTGGGGATTATTATCCCCTGGGAAAGCGATAGTTTTTTTTTCTCTTTGTTTATTATTTCGTGTCTGTTCGCGAAATATTCCACGAATGAACTATTGGACGCATTTTAATAAAAAATAAATTAATAACTGCATGCGCCACATCTAGCATAACTTTGACATGTTTAACCAGATCTGTAATTTTTCAGCATATTCTAATTCTAGCAATAATTTTACTCTATCCTAAATAAAAAAAAAGTGTAACCAGCATAAAAGTGTGTGTCAGGCGCATCTCGTGTTCCTGATTTTCCTACTGTCTGTGAAATGACCAAACAGGGCCAAAACTAATCTTGTTTTTCACTGTTTAATTTCAGCAAACTGTGGTGAAAAGTCTGAAAAATTCCACTTTCAGAGGCAGTGGATACCACAGGTGAGAAAAGAAAACTGATTATTATTATTAGAAGCTATGCAAAGTGCTCAGTTTATTTTTTCTTTTTTTAATTTACAGTTTAGGGATTATCTATGGAGTCTTTTCATTCTCTAATTTGCTGGCACCGACAGTGGTGTCAGTAATWGGAGCCAAGTCGACCATGTTTTTGAGCGGCCTGCTTTACAGGTAATCATGATGCAAGAGGCGCAATTAAAATGAGGATGCTGCTGAAAACACACACACAGCTCATGAATGTGTTTGTCTTCAGTGGTTATGTTGCAGTGTTCATCGCTCCGGCCACGTGGGCCTTTTACCTCACCTCGGTTCTCATCGGCATCGGAGCAGCCTGTAAGACCAGAAACTCACTTCTTGATTGCAAATTTGATTGTTTTTACGTTTGAAGTTGAAGTTTTATTTATTTCAATCATGAACTGAAATATGAGTATAAAACAGCAAGTCATCCAATACTAAAAAAAAATCTAATAATAAAAAAGATCTAATAAAACAATAAACGTCAAGGAAAGCAAAACTAAGTTAAAAACAAGTCATGAATGAAAAGGAGCAAAAAGAAGTATAAACTTATAATATCTGCCCCTACTCGCAAAATAAAATCAACCACCAACTCGGAAGTTCACCGTCAGCATTCGGCGAGAGTAATTCTACACACAAAATTACAACAAACCAATACTTTAGACCCCTAGTTCCCAAACTTTTTGTCTTCTGACCCACAAAATATCCATGGCAAAAACTTGTGACCCCAAATATTTCTGGTCTGAGTACATGAACTTCATTAATAACCCTAAAAACACAGGGTTTTTGACAATCTAAACCGCTTATACATAAATACTTATTTTTACTTATTTTGTGTTTTTGTAATAGTTACAGGGTAAATATTACAT